AAATTCAGCTTCCCAACTCGACCATCCCCGTCATCCTCATCAGGTGACTCGCCTGGATCCTCAGTCCTCAACTTGACCCTCTTACTTGATCTCCCGAACTCCATAGTTCCCTTCCAATAATCGGTTGTGATCGGACCAAGAGTCTCTAACCATTGGCATCCAAGCACTATATCAGTCGCCTTCAATGGCAAGGCATAGAGATCCACTCTCATCCTTTGACCTTGAGCCTTCAACTTTACACTCTTGAAGAGAATATCCCCTCGCAGTGTTTCCCCGTTTGGAACTTTGACTCCAAAAGGTTTTACCTTGGTGAATGGAATCTCAATTTCTTTGGATAGCTCCTCATCAATGAAGTTTAGCGTGGACCCGCTGTCAACCAATACTTCCACCAATTTTCCTCTCACTTCAGCCGTGAATGTGATCATCTTCGGAACACATTTCTTGCTTTTGACCATATAAAACAAGGACTCATCTCGTGGTTCTTCTTCTTCGCAATTATCTCCAATTTCCAACAAAAAGACCTCCTTACCCTTGCACCTGTGGCCTGGCATAAATTTTTCGTTGCACGAATAGCAAAGGCCTTTTTCTCGCCGTCGTTGCATCTCTTCGTCAGTAAGCCGCCGTATGTTGCTAGTCGTTCGAACAGTCTCGCCCATCGGCTTGCTTTCTGTTCGCCCCGTTAGCTCCTCAGTCGCCGCGTTCGTGCGCTTAGTCTCAGTGCGCACGTCGCTCGGCTTTGTCTTGCGTACCGCCACAAGATGATCTTCGTGCAATCTAGCCGACTCAATGGCTGCTCGCATCGATCTCGACCTATCCAACCTTACTTCGGCTGCCAATCCAGCCTTTAGTCCCCCAACAAATGTTCCCACTAGCGCAGCCTCAGGCCAGTCCCGTACTCTACTAGCAATGCGTTCGAACTCCTTTTGATAATCCTTTAGACTACCCACTTGTTTGATTCTTGACAAAGCCTCGTTGTAATCGTGGTAGTCACTCGAGCCAAACCTCGTGATGAGCTCTTTTTCAAAATCTCTCCAACGCATGTGCTCACCATGGTTTTTGTGCACCACCCATTGCCACCAAACGTTTGCTTCTCCATCAAGGTGATAAGCAGCAATTTGAACTCGTTCGTACCTTGGCACATCATTGATCTTTAAGAATTGCACAGCTCGACTCAACCATGCATCTGGATCTGTCCCCGTGAACGTGGGCATAACAATTGTCGGTCTCATACTTGCCCGCTCGTCCCGTGGATCGTCGCGATCGTGGTATCGGGCATGTCCCTCGTCCCGTCGTTCATCGCGTCGTCGGCCCTCGTTGTAGTGCTCTCGGTCATCGCGCCGTGCTCGGCGCTCATCGTGTGTGGCCCGCGATGCGTACGATGCGTACGACTGTCGGTCGTCGTCTTCCTCGCGCCTTCAGTCGTGATGTGCGCGTCCACTATACCGCTGCCGATCGTCGTGGTAGTGATCTGCGCGCGATGCGCGTGTGCCGCGCGATCGGCGATCGTCCTCGCGCTCGGTCCCGGTGCTTGTCGCCGTGGACCTTGACCCGTGACGCCTCCTTGGTCGTGTGTTCATGCGCGTTAGTTGCCCGGCCAAGTCCTGGACCATTAGTTCGATCCTTCCCAAGTTCTCGTTGGTAGCATGTTGACCATCGCTGATGATCTTCATGTTGTCTTCCAATGCTTGAATCCTTTCATGGTTTGACATCATAATTTTTTTTTTTTTACTCTAAAAAATTTCGAAAATAATAGGGGAAAAATTCGAAAAATCGAACCCCCAACAAGACTCAAAAATTCGAACCGAAAAAAAAAGAAATTCGGCCCCTCCACAAAAGGTAATAACCGAACAAAAATCAAACAAAGGACTAACAAGATGACACTTTTTTTTTTAAGACTCAATTTCGAAAAAAAATAAAGGAAAATTCGAAAAAATATTCGAACCCCAAAAACCAAAACTAAAGAGAAATTCGGCCCCTCAGCAAAAGGCAAACCAAAAAAAAAGAAAAAGATAGGATAAATAAAAACACGATCAGCACCTCTCAATAAAAGCACCAATGATGAAGGACTGCTGATCGGTGTTGTTATTTATACGTTGGGTTGTGAATAAACGGCGCACTCAGGGCCTTCGTTTATCCACGATAGGTGTATCTAGCAGACGCACTCAGGGCTTTCTCCTAGACACTGTGACTTTGAGACGCTCTCAGGGCCTTCTCTCCGACACTGTATGTAAACACGCACTGACGTCCTTGTTTATCACACGTTAGAACATAAAGTTCCCCTCAATTGGCTCACCAATTCAATACTCAATTCAACTTGTAAAATATGATGAGGTACATGGGGTATTTATAGGTGCAAAATAAATCTAAGCCTAATATATCTAGATCTCCTATTCTATGCAATAAAATAAATCCTAACTCTAGAAAGCAATAAAATCCTAAAGCTACCAAATAACTAATGCTTGGCTTGCACACCAAGCAAATCTAGAATGTCCCTAAGTCTCCAAATTTCGGCCAACTCTCTTGTCCGCGTCACCCGCGTCGTTCGCGCACGCGCGCGCTATCGCGCGCACCTCTCCTGCGCCGCCTCCCTCATGCGCGTGCGTGCCCCCCTCGCTTATGCCTACCGCGCATAGGCGTGCGCTCGTGTCCTCGCTGCAATCGCGCGCTATCGCGCGCGCCTCGTTACCGCCGACCTTCTCGCGCGCGTCCGCGCACGCCTGTCCTATGCTCCCGCGGACTAGGACGTC